TAACTAGATAGTATTTAATCTCTACTTCCTTTTCTAAGCACTGTTACATAAAGTAATTCACAGGCTCATAACCCTCACCGAAACTATAAAGACAGTTGATTCCATTATTTATTTTCTCCACTTTACAGGAGCAATTGAGGATGAGAAACTACAGCAGCTTTGCCTGAAGGTGCTTGGCCAGTACGTGGCGGAAGTGGGCATGAACCCTGGCAGTCTGACCCCTGTGCTTCATCCTCCCTGACTGACTGCTTTGCATCCTCATGCAGGCTGAGGTACCGAAACCTGCTACCACCCTTTGAAGAGTAAGGAGGTCATGCCATCCCTTTAGTCACCAATTAAAAATTGCTGAGAGTTCTCCTAAGGAAAGCTATATGCACAAGAGAGAAAATTACATATATAAAGATGTTCTTCATAATAGAAAAATTTAAAATGACCAATAGGGAAATGGTTAATTTTGATTAACTTGCATTAAATACCTTTGGATTTTATTGTTGTTCGAGTGCAGTTTTCTGCCTCCCCCCCCACCCCGCCCCAATCCCCACCACCCCAGCCCTCCCTCCCTCCCTCCCTCCCCTGTTTCTACCCCCTTGGTTTTGTCCACGTGTCCTTTATAGTTGTTCCTGTAAATCCTTCCCCTTCCCCCTCCCCATTATTCCCCTCCTTATCCCCTCTGGTTACTGTCAGTTTGTTCTTTTCAGTGTCTTTGGTTATATTTTGTTTGCTTGTTTGTTTTGTGGATTAGGTTACACTTATAGGTGAGATCATATGGTATTTGTCTTTCACTGCCTGGCTTAGTTCACTTCACATAATGTGAAATATGTTAAAATTATGTGTACATAAAAGCAAATTAAAAAATAAAATTAAAAAAATGATGGATGCTGTTAGAGAGTCATGGGGATAAAAAAATTGGTGACATTTTTTTGCTTCTATATATTTTCATGGTGTTTACAACAAAAACAGAAATCAAACACTCCCAAATCAAACACTCCCAAATCATACCCATTAACAGACATCAAGGACGCAAGGATTCTTTTCATACTTTTCTCCAAGTCCCCCTTTGGAGATCAGTGGGGAGTATGTTCATTTATATGGGGAGTTGTTAAATTTGCCAAAAGCAGATAACAAAGTAATATAAATCTTATGATTTAAGATAGCGCGCACATCTGGAAGGACATATGCTGGACCATCTATTGTGGCTCATAGGTGGTGAGACTGTAGGGGATTCTTTTTCCTTCTTTATACCATTATTAACCTTAGTATTATTCATACACAGGTGGCCATTTCTAAGAACTGGTTAAACAGAACTGTACAGAAAAATTGTTACTAAATTTAAATACTTTAAAATAACAATCTTGTCAACTGAGCCCACAATTTCATCAGAAAAAATAGGACAGCTTTCTCATACCATTTATTTTACAAAGTTCACTAATTGTGCTTCTTTGGCTAGACTGGTCAACAATTATATCTCATATTAATAGTCCAAAAATGATAAAAAATATACCAATCTATAGTTTATATATAAGATCAATACTTATATATACAGATCACTAACCAATGAATTCATATAACAAAAAATTCCACTCATAATGACTTTCTCACAAGGATTTAGATATACTTCCCTCAAATAATACTTCTTACTGTGAATTTTAAAGTCTAACAGAAAAATACAAGCTTAGAAAATTAGCCACCTGCCCTAGCAATGGAATAAGAAACATAATCCTAAATTGTTAGATACAAATACCTAATGTTAGCACCAAAAAATGATTATTTTATTACAAATTTTAATACATTTTATTTATTGATTTATTTTTTAAAAGATTTTATTTATCTCTAGAGGGAAAGGGAAGGAGAGAGAGAGAGAGAAAGACATCAATGTGTGGTTGCCTCTCATGCGTCCCCTGCTGGGAACTGACTTGCAACCCAGGCATGTGCCCTGACTGGGAATCGAACCGTGATCCTTTGGTTCGAAGGCCCATGCTCAATTTACTGAGCTATACCAGCCAGGGCAAATTTTAATACACTTTAAATGCTTTATAAAAAGGCAAATAAAATCTTGAAATCTGAATATGCTATGAGGTTGAAAACAAAAAACCAAAGATCAGAAGTCAGAAAAAAAGAAATGATTAGAAAAGAAGCATATATAAGTCAAAATTTAAAGGCCCTTAAGGGGACAAACAATTCCATGATACAAAGAATTCGATGATAAGCAAATTTTAAGCCTAGCATAGTCAAGAAATGTCCATAGGAATAGATACTGATGAAGGTTAAGGAGTAACACATCTGCTGGAAGGCCAGGGCTGTGATGGAAGAAGAGTGATGACAGGGTATAGCAAAAACAGCGATATTCAAAATTATTAATGGAAGTCTTTAATAACTGGAAGGCATTTCATCTATTAGTTATGGCTTGAAAATGCAGGCCTGCTATGAACATGTGCGATTCTATGAACATCTTTTATGTTCTGCCACGTGAGTGAGAAAAGCCCTCAGCATCAGAGAGCAGATGAACATTTTCACGACCTCAGATTTGATTGCCTAAAACTGAGAATGCGATGCCCAATCTCTGGCACGAGTGTGGCGGAGGGAGGACTCAATCCGTTTTCCCTCCTCTAGTGAGTTATTAAACAGCAACAGAGGCAACGAAGCCATGCTCTCCCTAAAGTTTGCTCTCTTCTGCCTATACCAGGCATGGTTTTTATCCTCAAAAGGCATTTCTTCCTCAAAAGAGCTCACCAAAGTTGTCATCCTTCCTATCAGCGGCTCCACTGGGCTCTGGTGAGTGACATCCAGACATTTAAACTCAAAAGCTGTTTCAGAAGGGAGTTATTAAAATTCAAATGAGCTGGGCATATTGAAGAAGAAAACACTCCTTTGCATGCACACCTCCGCGTTTGGTCATCCCATTTAGCCCCACAGAGCAGGGTCTGGTTTTGTTTTTGTAAATGGGCCTGGGAGACTGAGGTCAGCCTCCCACGGCCCCCATTCCTCTGGGGTCATCATTAGTAATGTGTAAGGCTGAATAGATTTTCCTCTGAATCTAGTCAGCAAACCTGACAAGAAGGCAGCCCTCTCCCACAACCTGAAAAATACCAAAAATCTGATTGACAATGGGGCATTTTTTAATACTTCATTTATCTGTTTAGAACAGCTCTCAGGAAGACCGCACGTATCGTCACTGATGCCAGCCCCCTGATTTTTTATTTTACAGCAGGACACTTCTTGTTGGCCCATGACTGCCCAACCATATGGATGTAAATGTGGCTAATAATTTCCCACAGGATTCAGAGAAAATTCATCTCTGCCAAGAAATATGGATCTAGGAAGCCAAGTGACAATTTATTCACTAGAAAAGAGCCTATCTTTCATTTGACCTTAAGAATTTTTTTCTCATGGAAATGACCTTACATTATTATCATTTAAAAATTTTATAAGAGCCCTGGCTGGTGTGGCTCAGTGGACTGAGTACCGGGCTGTAAACCTAAGGGTCAGTCAGTCATTCGATTCCCAGTCAGGGCACAGGCCTGCGTTGTGGGCCAGGTCCCCAGTTAGGAGCATGAGAGAAGTGGCAGATGAGTGAAACACTGATGTTTCTCTCCCTCTCCTCCTTCCCTGCCTTCTGTGTAAAAATAAATAAATAAAACATTTTTAGAAATAAAAAATAAAACTTTTATATCAGTGAGCAATCTAACAAAAAATTTGGCAAAAATATATATCTCTAGAATTATTCTAGCCATGAAAATTTTAGATGTTCCTTTGGTGAAAATTTAATAATTTACTAATGAAGACATCTCTATTTATAATATCTACTTTAAAGATACTTAATTTATATTTAAACAATTGTCTCTGGGTTGATATGGCAGCATGGCACTTTAAACAATTAATTCCACATGGTGTGTGATATATGCCATGTTTATATATAAATATTTATGTGCAACAATGATAGAACCATATATCAGTTTCCATTGAGGATATGGAAAAGCAAATCATGCTAACTCACGACTCCAGGATAATGGCACAATTTCTAGAACTCCAGAAACAAAAGAAATTCATCTCCAAACTATGAAAGTAGTTTAAAATCTAGAAGCTCCAAGGATTACTGTACCCAGTTGGAAATCAGACAATGCAACACTTAATATCCCTTTCAATGGTAAGATTTTATTCTTCCACAATCTTCATTAATCAGATCTCTTCATTTTCATTTGTGTAAAAACTTCCCCTAAAGTTGGGATGGCCTTGTGATAGAGACCCTGGTTTTGTCCACACTGGCCTCAGCAGCCCAAGGAAGAATGAAACTAGCAAATATCAGTGAAAGATTACTACATGGATGAAACTGGTTCCTGAGCTGCGGCATGTTCGGTTCAAATCCGTCTTTTCCTCACAGCAGTGAAGAGTACATGTATATCACTAAAGAGTGTTTATTTAATAACATACATGGTATTATTCTGGCTCCAGTTAAAACAAAAGGCACTCAATCTCTGTCTTCAGATTGCTTGTGCTCAAATGTGGTGACAGCAAGAAAGAATCACAAAGGGAAAAAATGTTTGCAGAGAAAAAAAAACACAAGCTAAAAATAAATCCCAGAGCCAACAAGCACAGGGCGATCATACCAGGTTCGGGGTGAGGCCTACTTCCAAGTCAGGTCCTGAAATGCAAACTGCACCCAGGGTCTGTTTTCTCTTTTTAGGTCATACTCACTTGAAACTGACAAGAAAAGTAATGTGTGCTTATACCTTTCAAATAACCAAGTGGAAGATTAAGGTCTTCACAGAGCCCCCCAAGGTCACATACGGTGGTTCCAAGAGACTACACGCTGTGTATGCTTCATGTACCATTTTTTGTAGCTGGGATCCTGATTACCTCTATTGCAAAGATGGTCTAGAAGAAAATACTCACCCCTTCAGACCTGTGTCATTTAATCACAAAGAAGCAATTTTTGTGCTCAGGGCACACAAACTTACATATAGAAAAAAAAGAGATAAAATGTAAGAAATGTGTTTACTTGCCTTTTTTTCCTCCCGTAATGAAGAAGCCAATGACTGCTCTAATAAAACTGCTTTCAGGCAAATAGCTATAGTCAGTAGGAACTGTGGAGACAGAAAATGATCAAATTAACCAATGAACTTGGCGGGACTAATGAAGGGAAGATAATGATCTCATGCTGCCATATCAACCTAGAGACAAACCAGAGATGTTCATGCCATTAATCTCAGCACAATACTCTGTGGCTGCAACTAATTCTATTAGATTAAAGCGACTGGCCTTGAAGTAATCACTTAGGCTATGTAAGCTATTTAAAAATGGCAGTAAACCTAGTCGAAGTCGGAAACCACAGAGGAGGAAAATCTTACTGAAGCGGTTAAAAAAAATCCTTTCCACCCTGTCACATCAATGTGTCCCAATCCTGTGACCTCCTTAGTGTCGTCAAGGTTGCTGGGCTTCCAGGCTGAGACCACCATTCTGGGAGCCACTTCGACACATCCTGAATCAAATATATGAAGCATGAAACATAATGATCAGTATTAATAGCAACCAGCCTCTTACTTCGTGAGGCAGGGACCTCTAAGTGACCAACATGTACAAATAACCAGATGTTGCTGACCCGGAACAGTGAGGCGTGACATTTATGCTCACTGAGTCTGGGGAGTTTGCTAGATTCATTCCCTCCCAGTCCCCCGTAATTGTTGCATGAGATGGTTTTTACTGCAATAAATGGCTCAGTTGGAAAACTCCATCAGAAACAAGTAGCTGTACTTTTCCAGACATACAATCATTTGTTCCAGAGAACCTGAGTGTAGGATGATTCACTGTGACCTGACTTGAGGATATGTGGGCCAGACCATGTAGCCCAGAACATTTAAAAGCCCATGTAAAAAAGCAAAAGCCTGACATAAACATGCTATTCTACTGGGACACTGTGGAAGCACTGCCCTTCAAAACTCACGTTACTAAGGGTTTCCTCTGATGACTAAGCTTTTTCTCTTCCCCATTTTAATATGACAGCTTCCAGCTGTCCAAAGTTCATTATGTTGGGAATGCTGTGGAATAACGTCCTATATCTGTAGCTAAGGGGTGACTGAAAGTGAGGGAGACAGTAATTACAGGGGCCCATGTTCATGGTAATGTTGTCCACAGACTACCTGTCAGGCGATATGTGAACCTAGGTGTTAATGAGGAATCTTTGGTACCTAAACCCCTCTGGCCTGGGTCCAAGAGAACCCGTGGGTCAAAGTTCTATAAAGAACAAGGGGCAGATACAGGTCCCAGTACATTACAGTGATGCTTCCCCAGAAAATCTTTAAGTGCAAACATAAATTAAGCATACAGAAATTGCAAATATTTCTTATTGCTTGTTATAAAAAAAAACTGGAAATAGAAAAAGCCTTGATACATTAAGACCTAGGATTTCAGTTTCAGCCAACAAGAGGCACAACTTTAAATGTACTTACCCCATTATTTTCTCAAGAGCAGGAGCCAGAAGAACTCTAGCCATATATGAAGAGACTTTTAATAAAATACAAGTTGTACACAAACCATGATTATTACATCTATTAAAGTAAAACAAACTCCCTTCAAAGCTTTAAGGACCTGGCTCTTTTTTTCTGGATTTGTCATTAAACTAACTCTGTACATAAGTTACATAATGTTTCTAAGCTTCAGGTTCTTCACCTGTAAAATACGGGTCAGATGTAATTTCTAAATTGTTCTCTAAGGGAGGCAGACAGTTAGAGTGACAAGAGCATGAGCGTTGGAGGCTAACAGATCTGAGTTTAACTGCTGTCCACCACTAGCTGCCTCGTGACCCTGGGTAGGTCAGGAAGCCTTTCCACGGCCCATTTCCTCTGATGTAAAACAGGGACCATATCCACCCCTGAGGGCTGTTGTGGAGATGCTCTGAACAGAGTCCAAAGCCCCACGTCGGCAATCCCTCCCTTCAGACCCAGCATCCTACGGCTCCAATCTTACCAGAGGTTCTACTTTGATTTGAGGACAGAGTAGATAGGTGAAGATGTCCTAGAAGCCAGATTGCATTGGACTGAAGGCCAATCACCCCGGACACACCGATGACCTATGGATGAAAATGGAACAATTCAGTGATGGTTCATAATCCAAACTCCATTCAACAAAAGGTCATTCACAGAAAGTCACTACTTTTTTATGAGATGGTGGCTTGTCTAGTAATGAGAAGTTCTACATCTAGTCTACTAACCCAGGAACATGCAGGTGGTTAACAAGGGTTACTGAATCGATCGATTGATCGATCAATCAATCAAATGGTGACAGAAGAGCATATTAATGACTGTGCCAGGTATCACTGAGTCAGATTGGTCTCAAAGGATATTAAAAAACCAGAGAAGCAAATCCAGAAGGTAAAGAGGTGACAGTTTCTTAGGATTAAAATACCCCTAAAATAGGATATTATTTTGTTCTCTTCCTTAAATAATGTTCTATTATGTTTGACCATCCATAGAAGCATTTTTACAATAGTTTAAAATACATTTTTTCTCCCAAGTTAAAGAACTTAAGTTTAAGTAGATTTCTTTGTGAGAATATTCATATCCATACATGAAAAACAGTTTCTTCTGTTCCAAAATTTGTTTTCCTTTAAAAGCATGAATTACTAAAACTTTTCAGGTGTTACGACCGGCTACATTTTATAAGAAGAAAACAAGTATGCTAAGTGAAAAGACTACAAATGACTACCACGCATTCTCTGCGCGGTAAGAATACCAACTATGCCAAGAAGAGGAGAAGGCTCGGAAAGTGTACAACCAACATTAGCCGCAACGGCCTTGTGCTGGGGGGGCCAACAGCAGTACGTTTGCAGCTTGTTCCACTCTGTCTATATCTTCAAATTTTATGCAATGAGCACAGTACTTTAAGTAAAAATGTTAAGATATAAAACCATTTCTCTGCACATAAATATGTTTATTCTTCAGACAAGGATAATGCTCACAATGACTTACTCAAACGCTTTTGCCCATGACACCTGAACCAGTGTCACCTGACCATGCAACTCAGCGTCCGCCCTGCCCCCCTTGCAGTGCTGGGCTTTAATTTTTAAGGGAAACTAATGCCAACGTAAGTGATCTCAAAATGCTAGCTTCCTTTTTTTTCCAGAGGCAGTGCATGTTTGTCAGCAAATGTAGGGGCATAAACCACTTTCAAATACCTGTTAAATTCACCACCAATAACCCACGATTTCCTCATTTTCTAAGTAAAAATGCTTGTATTGTGAAAGAGAAAAAAGACAGAGGGGGAGAATCTGCTTTCCCGCTGAAGGGTTTTATCCAATAAATTCCTCTTCTCACCTGTGTTAAGGTTCTAATGACTTCATTAAGCCTGGCTTGAAAATGCAAGCTCTGGGTGGCTTCCGACTTCAGCTGAAAGAAACACAAGAATATCCACTCCGGCATCCGCAGAAAGTAAAGAGTGATATTCCCAGTATAAGCTGTCACCTTCTACACTACAGACCGATCTACCATTATGTCCTTACATTTCAGAAGCAGAGGCTGTCAGCCCCGGAGAGCAGGGCCCCTGCTTTATTTGTCATTGGTTTCAGCTGGGTGGCCTGTAGCCGTCACTTAAGAAACCTTTACTGTATAAACAAAGGAACTCCTTAGAATTACTTATAAACTTAGGCATGTATGTGTCCACCACAAAAAAAAAAATTTAAGTGAAAAAAATTTCTTGGATACTGACTTAAATGTTACAGATGCAAAACGTGGTTTCTTATGAATGACTTCTGAACTTTCTTACGATTCAGTCACTTTTCTCAGGCAGGGAACTTTGTAGAAAGTACTGAAGTTGACTAGATTTAATCCCTACAAACCAAATAAAATAAGGAAAAATCTATACACAAAGAATTCTCAGCAAGGGACAATTTTGCACACATTAAGTCACTGCAAAGCCTGGTATTATCATTTCCGTGAGCATATGTTCTCTTGTCCTTAGCATGCTGAGCTATTAGTGTTCTGCTCTGGTTGTGGCTATGTACACATTTAGATTTCTCTTTTCCTTTTTTACCTGCATTACATCCCCTTCAGAGCCTACTGAGGCCACCATGCCATGAAGAGCTGCCAAGCAGAGCATTGTGGATGAGCCCTGAAAACAAAGAATAAGTCAATAGGGAAACAGTCCCTGGGATTGAATTCTATGACTTATGACATCATGGAGACATAAGTGGTTAAGATGGTATGAATTTGTAGGGTCAGCATAACCTGTATCAAACCTGAACCAGAAATGGCCTTAGACTTAAAGAAAGCGACATGTTAAAGTTATTAGATCATAGGTGGCTTCTTCTTGTTTTTTATTTTTCAAAACCACAATGTTGTTTTCAATTAAAACACTGACCAAATAACCGGTTCAGGAAAAAAAGTATCATAGTTGACAGGACGTATTGTTCATAAGGGCTGGAAACTACATGTTTCTCTTCCATTTAAAATTGCCCAATTTTTATTGTGAAGCTATATTCCTGAGCAGTACCTTTAAACCCTCCAATTAAGTAGCCCTTTTTCCTTTCTAAAAAAATGAAACAAAATGCAGGAGGTGGCTTCTACCTCTGCTAGCACAGTTCTGATCCAGGCAGGGAGCAGTCTGTTGCCCAAGTCTTCGGCTTTGCCATGTCCACACACAGACAGACCATGAACGATGTTTCCTAACGCCAGGGCAAAACCTGAAGTCTGTCATAAACAGATAGAAACACAGGGTAAGGAAAAAAGCAGAAGAATGGCGCAGAACAGGACGCTTACACAGAGCCGCCCTTCTAGGGGCTCCCCTTCCTGCTGACAAGTTTTTTTTGCCATCCGAAAATCAGAGATTGGCAGATTTTTAAAATCTAGACTTTGGTTTGCATGAGAAGCTACAATCTAACTGTGAGCGATTAAGCTGCAGTGAGTGATTTATTTGAGGAAAATAACACTACACTATTGAGCAACTTGGCTCATAGGATCCACATTCTCAGAAGGGGCTGGGATGAAAATACCAGAGTAGATTGCACAGCTCAGCCAACTCCCGAACAAGCAGAGAAAATGTCTCACACCGAGCACTGCATATGCAAACTTCTACATTTTGGAGTTGCAAAACCTACTGTAAGTGACCAGGCATATAATCATAAAGTAGCAACAACAGCGAGCAGGTAAGCTTAAAACCAGTGAATTCTGAAATAACTCACCATGGCCAACATAAGAGTTAAGAGAAACCTTTAAAAAAATAAAACCACCACCACCATCAATGGGGAAACTCTAGAGTATGTGTAATCAGACAAAACATGCATTTTTCAATTTTTAAAACTGTGGTAAAATACAGGTAATGTAAAATTTACCATCTTAATAATAATTTTTAACTATGCAGTTCAGTGGTGCTAAGTACACTCATACTGTCCTGCAACCGCACCACCTCCATCTCCAGAAATCTTTTCACTTTGCAAAACGCACTTCGTGGATACAGACAGCAACTCACCATCCCCACTCCTCCAGGCCCTGGCAACCACCGTTCTACTTTCTGCCTCTACGAATCTGACTACTCTAGTTACCTCATGGACTCATATAGTGTGTGTCTTTTTCTGATTTCTTGTTTCACTCAGCACAATGTCCTCAAAGTTCAGCCCTGATGTAGGATAAGATTTCCTTCCTTTTTAAAGCTGAATAACATTTCAGAGGCAATATTTAAGGGTAGTTAATTTAATTTATAGACATTTAAATTTTCCTATACCTATTCAGTCATGAGTAGAGATTCTTTGCCTTGAATCTGCTAAAAGTTGAATCAGAACCCTCTACGTATTCATATTGAAAAGCCTCTCGGACACAGGGGATGAGGAGGCCTGTGCTTGTTGGCTCTTGCTGTGAGACGAGGGGTGGGTCAGGTGTCCCTGAGTTCTGGGTATGAAAAATATCCCATTCCACTCTAATCAGAATAAGTCAAAATTAGGGCCTAACAGCAGCATAAGACCCACAGAGAGAAACTCTCAGGGTGCGCATTCCAACCTGCTGGTTGTTCTCTACCAACAGTCGAAGCTTGTCCATAATGTCTTCAGCCTCTGCAGCTTCAATGATTCCAGCACTGAATGCTGATGTGCACACACAGCTAAGGGTATAGGCAAGGACCTGAGAAGAAAAGACAGCAGAAAAAAATTTCTTCATGAGGGAAAATAAAAGAACAAGGTTTAGTTGACACAAATAATTGGTCAAGCTTGTTCCTGGGATAAGAATTAAATTCAAATAAACCTACTGCAAACTGGCCATTATTTTGCTGCCCATCTCGTATTTCCTAACAATGTCATGAGATGGGAGTCATTATTCCTACTTTATAGATAAGGACACTGAGGCTCAATTATACCGAGTTAGCAAGCGACAGAGGTGACATTCAAATCAGGTCCTGAGACTCTATACCAAAAAATTCCCTCACCAACGCAGGACACACTGTCTACAAAGAGCAGAAGCAGATGCTCATCACAGTGGACGTTACTGATCGATACATGCTCTGATCCGAGGCCATACAGCAGGGGAAATGGCGACGCCACGGCGTCAAGGTTCCACAGTGGAGCACACTGGGCCACGACCGCGGGTTTCAAAGTTAGATGGATTGTGCAAACCAGAGATAGTACTACTTACTTCACAGCACTGTAGGGTAATTTAATAAGTAAATGAATCAATAAGTAAGTGACTAAATGAACAAATCACAAATAAAAATGCTGGGAAAAGAGACAGAATACTCGGGTGCATGTTCCATCATTTACTGGCTCAGTAGCGTCGGGCAAGTTAAACAATCTATTTGAGCCTTGAATTTGCAAATTAAAGTTAACTGCCCTTCCTTGCTATTTTGAATTTTCACGATGCAACGTCCCTTACAAAGATACTTTTAAGACAAAGTAGAAATGTTCACCTCCTAACACTGGTTTATACGGCATGGGGGAAAAAAGTGATTTCTAAGTTAGAAATTGTATAATAAAACATGAGAGAAAACAAAATGCTTGTCCAAGGCCTTATAAATCAAACAGTGAGCGGTCAAATGCCTCAATTATAAAAACCTTGTTTTCATTTATTAATCAAATTGCTCCTTGGTTCAATTTTTTCTCCTTTTGCTTAAAAAAATGTACTTTTAAATTATGCTCTGCTTTGAAAATAGAAATGTGGTGCATGTCTCAGAACAAAACTTCAACCCTCTGTGCCCCCAAGAAATTCACCGATTCAACAAGTCCCATGTCTGAAAGCAGAGTAGCTGAGCAAGGAAACACAGGAGCCATTATACCCTCATCAATAGCTCGTGGGCAGGCCCGGACGGATAAAATAGAATCTGCGCTAATGAGAGGGGGAGTCTGGCCAGGCCAATAGGTCGTCTCTAGCTCCTCCCAGAGAAGAGCACAGGCGGTCCAGCTTCACCTGGGCACAGCAGACACACACGCCTCCCACGTTCCCTCCAAACACGGTCAACTCTCAGAGACTGTGTCACATGAACTGCAATTCTGCATATTTTTGTGCCATAACAGAAAAAGCTCTTCATTTAATGTGGTAAAGGGAATTTCCTTAATAATTTTTCATGCTAGCTGACATTAAAAAAAAAACATGCCTTTTTGATCCGCAGTCTCTTAAGCTTTTTTTGGGACATCTTTTAAAGTTACATGGGCTAGGGCATAATTCTAAAACTCTCCATTTAACCTTCCTCCAGAAATTGCAGCTCTTCTTAGAAATTGCCTTCTAGTGATGCTGACTAAGGTTTTTGTATTCACTCAAGGCTCTTATCTTATATGCCACATTTAACTTGAAGTTGATTTAAATAGCTGCACAATTTGGAAAACCTTATGATCTCATATAGGTTGTTTGCTGCTCAGATTTTTCTCCTTATCCCAGTTGAAATTGAAGAAGAATTTAATGTCACAGTCACCAAAATATGGGAAGTAAAGAATGAAAAGGGAAGAAAACAAAAGAAGAAAATACAAAACGGGAAGAAGGCTGCAACCTGGTCTCCTACCTCCTGAAACGTCCTGCTCTGGCTCCCGCTGTCATCGAGGTATGCAGAGAGCTTGCGAAGCGACACTGCCACGTGAACTCGCGACTCCGTTTGGCTGCTGTGGCTCATGAGGGACAGAACAAGTCCAACTCCCAGGACACAGCCCGTGCTTGGATGCCAAAAAAAAAAAAGATGAGGGTTAACAATCACAGAAACCCATGGCATCGTCCTTCACTCTTCCTGGGAGTTTACAGTGCTCTGCAGCCTGAGGTGAGACGGCTGGATTCTAATTCTGCTGCTTGTTAAGTAAGTGTGTCCTGTGAAACACCACAAGTATACCACCTCCGCCCTCAAAAGGAAACCTTTGTAACAAAACAGGTAGCCCCTGCTAGTGCTGTGTATCTGCTGGAGAGCAACAAACAAGTAAAAACATGAAATAGTTGGACTTAAAACTCCATGGTGGGGAGAGGAGGCATAAGTGCTAGCTCTGCACCCAGAGAAATCTGTGGTCCTCTTTCCAGGCCCCACCTCCACGTTGAGTGAACTATGATTAACTATGTAAGAAGAGAAAAGACTCAATTTAAAGGTATGAGCTAAGGACGACTAATAACAAGGTGATTACAAAATGTAACACATGTGAGGTCCTGCTAAGTGCCTCATGTTTCCTAGTCAGCTTCAAGAAGTTGAATTTCTTTCTTAAATGACATTAATCCTGTTCTCCCCTCTGATCCCTCAAAGTACCAATGGGTCAGAGGAGAAAATGGACAGATGACAGGTTTGTCAAAAGTTACCCCATGTGATGATTCAGTTGGGATCTTGGACTTTGTGCCTCCGTTCTTTTGAAAGAATGCATATCCATTTAAAGAAATGAATTGTTCTCTCAGAAAACTTCCAGTTAGTATAAGATAATAGGGCTTTGATGTAATTTATTTCTAAAAAAGTTTTTTTTGTCATCGGTGCTGTTTTTCAAATTCAGGGAATGTTGAGTTTTTCAGGAATCCTCTTCACTCTGGCTTGGCTTGCCTCCCATCATGATAGACGCTGCTTAAGAAGACATTCCAGGGCTTTCTCCAATAACGTATTTTGACGCCTGTATGTTATACTATTTTGCTCTTATATAGCATCTCTCTCCTTGGCTGGCATCACCTTTGCATTGTTTCATGAACATGTTAGTTATTTCCTCCAACACCTCTGTGCAAACGGAACATCCACATCTGATAAGAGACACCCAAAGGAAGGGGATGATACAGGATTTGCTCAAGGTCACACAGAGCTTTTCCAGCAGAGCACAGCCAGATTTTTTTTTTTTTTTTTTGGGTAATTCCCAGCCTTCTGTTCCATCTGCCAAACCGCAGGCCCCTCTGGTGCCCCGCATGTTGCCGTGATGGAATGCCTATGAGAAGGCAGTATAGCTCAAGTGTTTTTCTAGGCTCTATTGCATAACAGTCTGGCACTAGAAAATCCTTTGTAAGGAAGCTGCTGCAGTAATAATCCATCATTAGTCAGGCAGAAATGCTATTACAGCTAGCATGAACTTAACAACAAGCTCAACTAGCATAATGCATTTCCAACCAGTTACATCGGCATCGAACATCTGAACACTGCATGCTGTTGAGACAAAGCACATATCTGAAAGACAGGCTGCTCTTCATCAGTATGGACTCAAGTCTTTCTTTTCAGTTTTTCTGTCTATACTGATAGAAAATTTAAAAATTTTGATAGAATTATATAATTTTGATAGAATTATACCAAAGATTTAGTTAGACAAAATGTGGTTAATACTCTGAAAAATTTGACTTTTGCTCCTTCTTGGACTATTAAGTTGCTACTTATGCTTAAGATTTCAAATGTGACTTCCTCAGGGACACCTTCCCCAGCCCAGCAGGGGACCTCTTTACTATTCTCCCACGGCACCCTGTACTAATTTACTTCAGACAATTTTAATTATAAACTGTGATGAGGATTATTTGGGGTAGTGTTTAATTACCATCCACCCCACTCACCAGCCTGCAGGCTACAGGAGGGTAGGTGCCCTTTCCATTTCTTCCTCGCCACAATGCCTGTGGCACCCAGGAGGCGGCTGGATGGGGACAGGTGTCCAACGAACACCTACTGAATAAGTGACCAAATGCAGAGATTCGAGGGAGTCTCAAGTGAGGAGAAGCACTCCCCAAAGAAAAACAACAATAAAAAAGGAAACCAAGACTTGGTTCTTTTGTTTAGTTGGAGGCAAAATTTGAGTTGAAAAATTCAATGACTACATCATGCAAGATTCCATCGAGAAAACTTGATTTCTATCTCCTGCCAGACTGATTTAAGAAACAGGGGTGTGTCAGGTTCACTGGGAAAAAGGATTCCTTCTGAGGCTTGCTTAAGTTCTGGGGTTCATGTTTCTCAATAAATAGGCAGTTATCTAAATCTTGTTTCTTGTGTTATTCTGGTTACAGAAAAATCTCTACTTCCTGAACTGATGCTCCTTTTTCACCATCTCCAGGCATATGGATACAAAGGCTTTAATCCCAGTTTTGCAGTTCACATTTATCTAAGCAACATCACAGCATAGTTAGTCCTGGGTTACCATTCACTAACAATTCTATTCATGCTACAATGGTAGTTACTTGACTGTTGTAATATACAAATACATAATCCAACTGTATATATGTATGCCAATATAAATGTTAGAGTGCATGCACCTACTGATCCACTAAATTGTTTCCTTCTATTCTGCCTCATTTTTCCAGCATGCACCAAGTAGGTAGTTCTAAATTTTATTTCTGATGTTTCCTCCTGATTTCCAACTCTTCTGTCTGTATTTTAATGTGTTTATTTTTGCCCTGAGTCTTAAGGACTCCCCCAAGTGCTTGGTTCAGCACTTCTACACACTGACTGCAAGCTGGCTTCCCTTTGCCGTATCTGCTGGCTCTAAACCAGGGCTAACTCGGGCAGAGGTGGCTTTCACATGTTCCTGTTCATTGAAAACAACAAGAAGTTAAGTGTTAGCGTGCCGAACATATGAGATAAAAACAAGTTATGTATAAAATTGAGGTTTTGGAATGGCTAATGTTAAGTCTTCCATAAGAATACTAATAAATGATAAAGAGAAATTGAGTTTTAAAATTATATGCCCTATTATGTCATTACTTATTTGAATGTCTTATCTAGGTATATTAAAATATCAATACCAAAAATAAATTCTGCAACTTAAAATCTATGCAATTCTGATATGTGTTGCTATACCAACAGAGATATAAGGCTATATTTTTCTAAAATTAACCACAGATAAATCTTCAATTCCCTAGTTTACTGTAGGCTATCTTGCAGATTAAGTACTGGGCCATCTAATAATTAGTTCTAATAACAGTTACCATTCGCATAGCACTTTGCCCTTTACAAAGTGCTATACAAACATTATCGTATTTGTGAAAGCTCAATAGCAATTAACCAAGGCTCTCAGGCGGATAGCATGACTAGTTAGGGTTTGTGAGGATTGCAATGGCACAAGTACCACTAGATGGCAGCAAAATGTAAGTGATAGGAGCACAAATACGGACCAGCCCAGGTGCTTCGTTCTTTCAGCAGGGCCATGTCCGCTAAATCAAGGAAACATGGTGAATTTGCCCTGGGTGAAGTCTATCACTTGAGGTAGCATGCTCCCAGACCTATTAACTACCTCCTGGTAATGCTTCCACTATTTCACTTGAGGGAAGACTACCCTAGACTCTTGCACTCTCATTAGACAGAGGAATACTTCATGCCATGAGCCAGGCATTCGAGCCTGAGACCAATTAGACACTCTTTCTTTTAATGGCAAGCAAGACCTGCATGTCAGAGAAAAATAATAACCTCCACACTGTCAAGGGTCAAATTGTTTTATATACTTTTTCTGATTAAAAAAATATTTATTTTATTTCACTCATTTTTCCTACCCCCTTCCCCTTTGGCAACCTTTAGCTTGTTCTGCGTATCTATGGGTCTGTTTCTGTTTTGTTTTGTTTATTCAATTGTTTTTTAGATTCCATATATAAGTGAGATCATATGGTATTTGTCTTTGATTTACTTCACTCAGCATAACACTCTCTAGGTCCACCCATGTTGTTGCAAATGGCAAGATTTCATTCCTTTTTATTGTAATATTGGGGCTTTCTTTATGTTGAAATGTTCTCAGTGCTGTACAATTTAAGAGAAAAATAGCTTTCGAGTCAAACAACCTAGGCTTTCTCTTCTCTCCAAGCTGTCACTTATTGTGTGACCTTGAATGAATCTCCTATTCGAGACATTTTCTTTATCAGTAAAACAAAATGACGATGATGCCCGCATATATTGGTATCAACATTTTGGTTGTAATCAGGGCTTAATTACATGAGAACTGAATGTGAAAATGCTTAGCACAATTTGTGGCTACTCCTTAACTATTAATTGGACCTCAAACCAAAGAGGGGAACAAGATAAGCACTGCTACCCACAAAGCATTAGAAATGGCAAAATACAAACCATCACTAAATGTAGGAATAAAGGGAGTTTTCAGAAGATAGGGGGAGGGTTTCTTGAAGAAACTGAGCTTTTAATTGGGCACTGAAAGACAAGCCAGAGTTTACAAAACGGACAGGAAATTTCTACCTGACTCTGTGGGATCAGTCCCCTGTCTAGGCCCACTCACTCATCCCTCCCCCAAACACAGCTGTTCCTTCAGAAGGTGAGAATAAGGAATAAAGGTAAGAATCAAGAAGTAAGAATCTCATTATTTTAAAAAGTTCATTTTAAAGTTAAATGTGCTTAGACATATTTAGTTACTACAGGCATGAATATCTATACTGTGGATAATTCAGCTATCCCATGGTCATCTTTACATTCAGATGACCTACCTAGAAACTAACGAAGATAACATTGGTTGGCCGAAAAGTCCATTTAGTTTTTTCCATAAAATAAAACACATTTTTCATTTTCACCAATAACTTTATTGATTTGGATATTTTGAATGTGTCAGCTACCTCCTGCGTGGTATAATGTTGAATGTTCTCAATTAATGTCTCGATTTGATTGCTATCGACTTCAACTGGTCTCCCTGACTGTGGAGCATCATCTAGTGAGAAATGTCCAGCATGAAACTTCGCGAACTACTTTTGACACATTTGACCAGTCACAGCACCTTCTCCATACACTGCACAAATATACATTTTTTGCATTTCAGTTATGTTTTTACCTTTCTTGAAATAATAAAGCATAATATGCCAAAAGTTGCATATTTTCTTCCACCTTCAATATTAAAAAGGCTACAGAAAAATTCACTGATTTTTGATAAGTTTTTAAAAAATGCACACTAATATGACAGCTGTTACAATACAATCTAACAAAATTGTCTCTAATGAAGTTGAAATGCTACTAGAGTCATCTTACAAAAAGAAACCCAAATGAAATTTTTGGCCAACTCAATGCATGAAAATCATTCTTGATTGTTTCAACTGGCTGAAAGTTTGGAGCATCTTAATCACAAAATTTCCCCCCAACTTTATAATACTTGAGCTGCAGCTGTGATGAACACGTTTGGAAAGAAGGCAGAAAAACAGAGGGAAGGAGAAAGGGAGAGAGAGAACCCATCTTACTCCTTGGTTGTAAAAGGCAACATCAGGGATTAGGCCTAAAATCTCAGCTTTTCATCAGACCCAATAACAGTTAAATGGCTCTATACTGTCTATTAATCATTTTCTATATTCAAGAAACTTCAATCATGCCACTGACCTCTTTTTCCATAATCAAAACCACACTCTAAACATGGCATGTCATCTCTAAAGTGCTTTGTGATAAACTGGGCGGGTGTCAAAGATTCCTATCCAATCTCAGCCCAAATCTGGAAGAACCTGCCATGACTACCTACTACGTGAAGATCTGGTTTTGTTTGTTCCTGATCAAATACTTGACACATGAAGTGACTTCTACCACCTAGTCTTTTGTTAGCCTGAACAAAGAAGCTTGAAGGTGTCAATGTAACCTTGGATCCTAAGTTCCTAAAGATCAGAAATGTGAATTCTGAATTAAATCCTATTTGGACAATGCCCATAATAGCAAAAACGTAAAGCTCATAAATTGGAAGTTAGTGCTTATAATCTATTAAGTTTCCAAGTAACCACAAATCCCAGATGATTCAAACCTGAGATTCCCAAACATGTGAAGTCCAAGAAGGTACAATTAGTCGTCAGTGGTATCAATATTTCAGAGAGCCTGGTAAAACCATATATTTTCCCACATGAGTCACACAGACTAATTGAAACACTAAATGTCTCACTCAATGAGTATGTTTAACACTGTTTTGAGGTATTTTTCCTGATTATTCCTTTTTTGTTCTGTTATATTTCATGATGGCAATGAGAAAATGAATTAAATTTTAGAATACATATTTCATTTAATGGACAAAAATGTTAAACATTTATGTATTTTGGGGGGCAACAAAAGGATCTATCAACACGGAGGAGGTTAGGAAACCCTGGCGTAACCTGCCTTTGTTTCCACTGTGACTCGTCTGGTACTGGATTGCACAGGAAAATCTAAATTATGGGCCAAAAACTCTTTTCGCCCAAGTGAATTTAAAAAATAGTTTATTTAAAAAGACTAACTCATGCACACAGCCTCCAAATATATGCTTAATATGACATTTCTGAGACAGAACTTAATGACAGCCATAAAATGACATTTGTTACTTTGTAGTAAAGCAAGTTTTCTCTTGCTGAAACACTGTTTTCAGAACAAATAAGCTTTAATTATAGATTTTTAATTATTACTGAAAGTTCTTTGCAAACCAATGTAAGATCAAGTCTGACAAATATCCCATCATAGAATACAAAGTTCATGGTGGAGAAAACTCATCTCTCAGTATCTCTTAGAGGGGAAAGGGGGCCAACATACTTGTATTCAAGACCACTGTCAAAGCAGCAGTTCTCCAGGGCATCCAAGGACTTCATCAGAAGAAGGTTCATCTGTTGGCCAGAACTATCACTAGGTAAAGGCGAAAGGAAGAAACGAATTATTTAAAGTCATGCAACTGTCTAAAATACTTACCATATAATATTTTGCTCTCAATATTTTACTGAAGATGCATTTATTTCAAAAAACATAAATGTAACAATCACTAATAGCAGCGATTCATATATACTTATTTTGTAGACAGAGAAACTTGAGTCCGAGAATTTATTCAATAGTTGGGTTTCTAAACATTAGAATTATTTGCAAACCAATAAACCCTAAAATTGCCTTTACAATTGCTTTTACCAATAAATCCTAAAATTGTTTTTAATGAGCTGAGAAAACTCAGCTCATTAAAACTTTTTTGTAACTGAAGTATAGTTGACACACGGTATTACATTAGTTTCAGGGGAACACTATGGTGACTCCACATTTATATACCTTATTAAGTGATCACCACAGTAAGTCTCATAATCACCTATTACCATAAAAGGTTATTGTCACATCATTGATTGTATTTACTGTGCTGTACACTGCATCCCTGTAACTTAACTTAGTTTATAACTGGAAGTCTGTACCTCTTATTTCCCTTTACTTTTTCATCTGTCCCCCCACCTTCTCCCTTCTGGTGTTAAAACCATCAGTTTGTTCTTCGTATTTATAATCACCAATTTGTTTTCTGTATCTATGAGTCTGTTTCTGATTTATTTGTTTGTTCCTTTTCTTTTTTTATCCTACGTATAAATGAAATCATATGGTATTTGTCTTTCTCTGACTTATTTCAATAGCATAATATTCTCTAGGTCCACCCATGTTATCGTGAATTTAGCCCATTCAAGTTTTAAATCACTACGGAATAAGAACCAAAGTAAGAATTCTAAAAATATTTCTAAGAGTGCTGAAGTGATTGTCTTCAGATATTTAATAAAACCTTTAGGCTGATATTATCAATAACTGCTCCAAATCTCTTTTAGCAAAGACTGTTGCTTTTGATTTCATGTCTCAATTATGGAGGTTATAAATAACATTCCTTTAGTTAATCTTTTTTAAAGTTGGGGGAACACCAGCCCTGTATTTTTCTCTACACTAATTGATGTGATTTTGTAACTGTCTTGGTGAGTACTATGACTTGTACAGTAAAATAAACTTAAAAGGTGGTTTTCTTCAGGCATAGCTATGGGCTTCGTCACCGGCACTCGATGGTCAAGGGCCCCAGCGGCTGCCTGCTTCTCACGCTGCCACCTCGGCCCCACTAAGTGGAACGCAGGCCCAGGAATGCCAACCAGCACGAGAGCTCTCTCTGGGTCTTCTCAAACCAAGACTACACTGATTTTGCTTGAGGTAAGAGATTAAATTTTGCAATGAAAACACATACACATGCACACACACTTTTAATAGCTTTAACTAAGTAAGTCCTAGTATAACTGTTCTGTGGAGTAAAATATATTTAAATATGCTAAACAAATGTTAAAGTACTAGTATCCTCTGGGAGTTATAACAAAAGCAAGCTTGAAGTAATATGCTTTCCTGAATAAATTCTACACTGGAATTTAAATTCAGGTGACTTTTTTTCATAAGCTTTAGCAAAAATTGGATTGATTGTCACAATTCTCTTTTACAAGGTGATTTTTCGTTCTTGAGAAAAACATACTGTCCTAATCCTGTTCCCTTAAACGGGCTACTTTGGGTCACTATGTGATGTCATTCACTAGTCAGAGTCGACAGCCCTCAAAGCATTTACCTTAATTTTAGAAAAATAGAAACTTTCTCCAAAAATATCATTATCTGATGACATAGTCATTATCTAGCAAAATATTTTTTTAGTACTAAAGGCACATATATTTCGGATTCCTCTGCTCTAAGAAATTAGGAAGGTGAGAACCATGAAAAACTATAGTGGTGGCTACAGCAGCCAAAAGGAAGATGCTACCAAACGCAGGATCATTACGTTAAATTTAAAACCTGCGGATATTCTGAGGGCACTTTGCCACGGGAAGGGCTTCCTCAGGCCTTCCCCAGGGTTTCCTGCAGGTGCAAAGTCAAGTTTAGAGAAGATGGGGTGCAAGGCAGTCTAGGAGCCGGAGAGGAATGCTTTAGGGGAATCACCATAAGTTTCTCCAGGTAGTACCATTAAATTAACCACTAACACAAGCCTGTCAAGCCTTAAAACCAGCAGCATCTCATCCAAAACGCATGACAAAGGGAGCCACGGGATGAAATGAGTGGCCTGGAATTAAACTGCCAGGGCTCATTTTTAGTCGTGAAACACGTTACTTGGAAAGATCTAAAGAAAGGCCACGGACACAGATGGTGAAGAGACTACCATTTGTCGCATCATGGCAAAGGAAGAGAAAAATCATTTTTAAGTTTTAAGTCTTCAAAAATACTTCACGTTCACACCCCCCCAACACACAATGGAGCAGTGAACTCGCATGCTAAGGGCAGTGCTTTGTTCCTGTCCAGGCCTCTATACTAACACTGGTGAACAGAACAAAATGAACATTCTGGAAATATTTCATTTATGATCACAAAGACTAATCCAAATCTTCCTAATCATTTGACAGATGTTTCCAAGAGCCAAAATGATTATTTGAAATAGGTTATTTCCCTAAATCAATAGCAATTTTCATAAAGTTTCATATATTGGCATTTGCACAAAACTCTGTAAATTACAAATGAAACTTCACCACTGGTTTTACACTAAAATCTAAATATAGCATCATGTCATCTGGCTTATCTGCATCAACAGCATTTCTTGCCTTCAGACAGACAGTTCACTTCTGCTAAGCAGGGAAGCTTAATGACAGCTAATGTCGCCCAGGATTCCTCTTCTCCCTGCTACCCCATCTCCAATGCCGGAAAACGGGGATAAATGCTAACTCAGTGACATCTAAATATTCATGATACTCAAATATTCATGCTCTACCACACTGCAATAAATTTAGGTATATAAAATTCTGAGATTTGTTATAAAATAAAAAATAAAATGAACATCAAAACTAGACTCATGTACAGGAAAACTTTCCACATTAGTGGAATTTTCCACCTGGGTCTTTGATAGTCTATTAGCACCATTCAAGAGGAAAGCCAGAAAATGAGCAATCAGAATGAATAAACCACACAGTATAATATGCACAGATTAAGACTCTCTAAGGATTATAAAACTGTGGCCAGGCCACAGGTTAAGAGCAATATTTAAAACTGGGTACATATAGTTCTCAGGTGATTCACGCAATTCCCATACCCTCAGGCACAAGGAACACCCCAATCCTTTCCTTCCATTTTACAGTGATATCAGTAAAGGATCGGCAATTATTTTCACCCTTATAAGCCAGGAACAAAAGCAGCTTTTCTTTATTTATTGCACCATAAGATTAGACTTCCCCTCATATCTATTACACAGATGTATTCAGTGCTTTCATCTAAGCATGAAATGATTTTCAAGTCATTTGTCACTTTAATAAGAGCAACCCTTAAAATACATTAATAGCTATGTGATGGTATTTTAGAAAGACAAATTCACTCATAAAGAATACATGATCAACTTGCCTATCTCAAAAAGTTTAGCAAGCATGTAATTTCAGATAAATGCCTATGTATTTGTATGTATGTGTGTAAAATCCTCCACCTATACCACAAAGAGGAAAAGCAAGGCTATTTTAATAAACTGTACCTGAGTTTCTCCTCACACAAACGAGAGAGAAACATCCCCAAAGCAAGGCCCATGTGGATTTGCACAGCTTGAGACTCATCAGCACTTGGTTTCCCAGGTAACCTGGCAGTCAGCATGTTCAGGATTTCCTCAACCTTCTCTTTGCAAGAGATAATGAAAACTGGCACCAGGAGAGACAAAGCCGTGGCGGCCGCAGAACGGGCGATGGCACTAGCTGTGTTTTCACCAGAATAGGATTTCTAGGACACGCCAAAGAGAGAAAACAGGGGGTTGGCCTTTTGTTTAAAACATGAAGGAAACATACCTATCACAAAACACTATGCAACAATACAAACTTCTCTTAGATCCACCTCTGCCAAGCAAACAAATAACTTAAAAAATCTGTTTCTGCATCTGACTATAGGTTTACGGTTTCACTCTTACTGAGATGATTTGCTACTAAACAATCTGTTAACTAATAATATCCTTTTAAATTCGAAAAATTAAATTATAAGTGCCTCCTTTTAAAGGGTGTGAATTCCCTCACTAGAAAACCTGAAAGAATTTCAATGTTTTGAAAGCCCACATGTGTATGTAATGAAAAACCCAAAGTGAAGCAGTCCAGGCTTGAAAAAAGCACCAAGCCATATTATAAAGGTCCAGAAAGCCAGGAATTTTCTAGGAGAGACAGACTGAGGTGGGAGTCGGGGGTGGGGGAGCAGTTTAAGTTTAGTGTGGAGGGACAAGTGTAAATTTTGCACAAGGATCTATTGGCAGATCTCCCAAAATCTTTGGTGGGAACATTTCCCAGTAGATGGATTATTTCCTACAGGGGGTTAATTCCTTTTAATTAAAAAGGAAGTTGAAATCCTAAAAGCCTCTGGTTACAAAGCAATAACCAGCTACTGAAAATGAAATGGAGAGCCCTATATGCTCCTTCCTATATGCAGTTATGGGAAAAGAAATGAGTAACAGCCCTAATACCATGACAGGGCAGCTGAATATGAACAGCTTCCAACAGAGCCTCCTATTTGAGAGTTCCAGCAGGCATTATATACACTTACAAACATGTCTCAAGTGGGGAAGGAAGTTCGTTTATCATTCCTCACTATTACCCACTTCAAATTTTCAGACACACCATAAAGGCTGTGTTGTCTCTTATAGACCAAGCATATTAAACAGTGTTTTTAACTCTATAGTCCTTTGCTCTCTAAGCTTTAGTACTTTAAGGATAAAAATCAAGCATGTGCTACGGTATTCTTTTAGTTAATACACCGCTATTATGGCAATGCTTCTCAAATGACCCAGCTGCTAGGACGCTGAAAATTTAAAAAGTGACTTTTGAAACAGTGCTTTGAAAAATTATAATAAGGCAAAAATCACAAAGGTAAGAGGCAACAATGACCTAGCTAATAAGGAGATTTTGGTTTTTAGTGTGCAAGAACTAAGTAGTGTTATTAGGAATCTATACAATATCCTGTCCTGCTCAGATAGTCACTGCAAAGACTTCCACATAAGCTAACAATTTTTTTATCCATTATTAAAGAAATAAGAACACCTCGACAGAAAACAAACTGTCACCAAGAAAGTATTTCTGTGAGAAAAAAATCTACCTTCCAATTTAATTCTACATTATCTAGTAAGGCATTTTACTGTCCTCAAGCACGGTTGAAAATCTAGTTCCACACCCGAAGGACACATACCAGGTCCTCCCAAGGGCAGGGGGCAGAGGCACAGAGAGAAGACCCAAGGCGATGGAGTTCCGGGCTGAATTCGGGATCTTAGCAACTGTTCGGGGCCTGTGCTATATTTTTATTCTAATCGACTATAATCCTCTGCCACTCAGCTGACTGTCCCATGACCACTGTAATTCCCACACAGGTAAATAAAGCATTCCCTCTAGCCAGTGAAGGGAAAATGAAACCTAAACAAAGTAAGTGTGTTTTCAATTTGCTTCAAATCTTACAATATAAGCAAGGAGAAAGAAAATGACTAAGTAATAGGTATTTTGTTTTGATCAGTGGTATTACTTTGTATTTATAAAGTATGTCATAATTTTCAAAAGTTTTTTTCCATATATTATACAATTTGATGCCCACAACCTTTTATAAAGTTGGCAAAGTGTTAATTCTTACCTTCATTTTACAGATAAGAAAAATAAGATGATGGGTTTGGTGTCAGGTCAACAGTAACAAAACTAATAAAGGATGAAGCTAAGGCCATAATCACTGTAAGACAATACTGCTCAACTGCCTCATTAATAAACAGGGAAATAAAGGTCCTCAGAGATTAAAGGAACTGCCTATGCTCACACCCCCTGAAACGGGGGGGAAATCCTATGACTAGAAACTAGGATCCCCCATTGTCAGCCAGTGCTTATTTTACTGTGACTAAAAAAGCTCTTGACTCTGACTCACACATGAGTATAACCTAGAAAGCTTCCAAAATGCTGATATCCAGGGCCTACCCATGAGCAATTAAGAGATAAGGCCTATACATCTGTATTTCTTTTTCCAATGATACACACACACACACACACACACACACACACACACACACATTTATTTAAATATCCCTAAGTGATTGTAATGTACACCTAAGAATCATTATATAACATCATGGATTTCATGTGAATAACTGATATGAGTAGAATCAACCCTTGAGTTTTCTAATTATTTTTTGTTTCTCAGACTTACGTAATAAAAACAGGAGAAAAGTTGTCCTCTGGGTTGGTAGTGGCTATCCACAATGACCAGGAGAGTATCACACACCATGGAAACCCACTCTTTCATTGAAAGGAAATTAGGTTGAACCTGCAGATGAAGAAAAACATGAACTGATGATGGAGAAATTAAAAAACTTAAACATTATTTCTAGATTTAGGGTATAGCCCCATTCTGAATTAAAGAATGAAGTGCTATCATCAAAAAGTTCACTTCAAGGCCATGGCTGTTGTGGCTCAGTGGATTGGGAACCAGCCTGTGAACCAAGGGGTCACCGGTTTGATTCTGAGTCAAGGCACATGCCTGGGTTGCAGGCCAAGTCCCCATTTTGGGGCATGTGAGAGGCAACCAGACATTGATGTTTCTCTCCCTCTCTTTCTCCCTCCCTGCCCCTCTCTGAAGTAAATAAATAAATATAAATCTTAAAAAAAAAAAGTTAACTCGACCTGCCAGGACTAAGAAGGTGAGTAGGCATTTGACGAACAGACATCCCCTGTGCCCCAGTAGGAGTGTTGACCTTCCATACAAAACTTAGAAGTGAGAGGATGGGGGCTGCACCGCAGAACGGACTCAAGGGCCCCTCAGGGCTCTCCTGAGTTCAGTGAGAATAAAGTGGGGGTCAAAGGGAGAGATGTACAGAGAAAGCAGCTAGAAATTTCTCAATTTTATGATGTCATTTCACAAAGGGGGCAATAAAGCGGCTTGCAAATTTTTGAGCGCTATTCCTAGCATTTCTGCTATCACCGTATATTTATATTTCAAGAAACATCACAACATTTCCCCAGGTAATCAGTTATGAAAACATAATTAATTTTCAGTTTGGAAAAGAGAATGTAAAAAAAAAAAACCAATGACAAAACTCAACTCACTTTGAAAAACAGGACTTGATTTTAAAAGTCATTCATGACCGTGGATGTCAAAAGCATTCATTAACTCACATGGTATTTTCAGATCATGCAAACTAAAGGTCTGTGCAGTGTTAAGTAGCTCCTTGGGTGATCCTCAAATCTAAGAAGACTTCCTTCTTGAGATCATTAGCTGTTGATCATATGCAGATTTAAATGAAGTTTGAAAACTTCAAGTAATGAGATCTTGAGTTTGTACTGAGTAACAGCTAACTGTCAAGGTCATCAAAAATAAAGGCAACGCCCTGTCTCCAGACTGTGTGGCTTCTCCGTGTACTATACATTACAGTGCAGAACAAAGACATGGGGGAATAAAGAAGACCAAGAGAGCATGGAATTCAAACTCTGAACTAGAATCCCACTCATTACTGGGGTGAAGTAACATGTACAGCTGCATGGCTCTTATTAAAGGATACAAAACATTTCCTCTCTTAAAAATTTCATCTTTCCATCATTAAAATAAGATGCTGGGTTTAAAAGTAAGTTTTTCTATAGTAAGTAATTGCTGTTACATTTCCCTTGACCTTTTTCCCTTCTGCACATGTAATTAATATTGGTAGCTTTTGCCACACGGCATCATCTATTTTCTTGTTTATTGGTAATAGTGCCCTTTGGGGAATTCCTCCCCTATGATTTGAAGCTTGATTAAATGCTCAGTCAAGCTACCTGTCCTACCCTACCCGAAGTGTAGGAACCCATGGAACTCTACATCCTGGACGAGTGATGCAAAGACAGTGAATGAGTAGAGCTGATTCGTCCCAGTGTGAGGGAGGGCTGGGGGAAGGATCTGCTGAGATGGCTCGGTACCTGTCAGACTTGGCTTGGTTACTGTTATTCCCAAAATCCAAGTTTTAACCTCTGCTTTCAGTCCCTTGAGCGCCCAGATTCCTTATCCTTCTAGTTTCTTTTTTAAATGAGAGCCATTTTCTTTGCTTGCAACCAAAAACTCCACCATGAAATAAATCAGTACAATAGTGCAGGTTGGCTTAGCAGTTAATAACATAGGCTCTGGAGCCAGACTGCCTGGGTTCAAATCCTGGGCTTGCATTTGCTGTGTCACCTCAGGAAAGTTGTGTAGCCTCTCTGAGCATTTGTGTTTAACATGGGCAAGAATATTACACTTACCTCCTGGGTGGCTGTAAAGATAAAATAAGTTAAAAAACAGTACAGATGGTCCATAAGACACTCTGTGGCAACAGAGACAAGCTGAATAACAATGAAAAAGTCTAGTTTTTGCACCAAGAAGTGAAGAAGTATATGGTGATGCTGATGATAATGGTGACTATTATTGTGAGGTTAGTACCTACCAGCCATTGTGTTTTCCATATTAATTCACTTAACCTTTTAACAATCCTGTGTGGTTAGTACTATTATCCCCATTTTAGGGGGCAAACAGGCTCTGAAAAGGAAAGTTAGCAACAGCAGGCCATAGAGCTAGCTAGTGCATTTTTCGGACTATAAGACGCACTGTTTTTACCATTTCTTGCTTCAAAATTTCCCCCTCTAAAACCTAGATGCGTCTGGGGTTCACACCATAAAACATAGCTAGGTTTTAGAGGAGGAACATAGCTAAAAAAAATTTGAAGCAAAAAATGTAAAACAGTGCGTCTTATAGTCCAAAGAATATGGGTAAGTGCAAGTATCAGGATTTGAATAAAGAACTCTACCACTCCGAAGCCCATGCTCTTACCACTGGACTATATTGTCTCCAGATACTGATAGCTACTAGATAATGGGGCTTCTAAGAAAAATAAATCCATGCCTTTTTATTTTGACAGATATGAATTATCTGAAAAAGTATATTGGAAATGAACATTGGCCAGCTCCCCAGATGTTTAATTAAGAAATAAATGCCTTGCAAAAATGAATAGGCACTTTGTCATTGACATCTACAATTAAAATGCAAAGTATAATTTCTTTTCAGTCAGTAAACACTGCTTATTTATCATTTCTTGACAGCACTGTTCCCTTTCAGTAAGCCTAGTTAACCTCCTAAGATTGGTTACCACTAATGTAATCACAAAAAGACAACCCCTGTTGCATAAAATTGGTACCTTCAAATTGAAATGACCACTTAACTGTGATGGAGAAAGCAAAACAGAAAAGCTGCAAAGTGTCTGAAGGACACTACAGATCACAGTGTAAAGGCCCATCCACCAGCACAACTTGGCGCTGCAGGCACACACTGGAACCTCCTGAATTCAGAGTCAGGCTTCCAGAGACTCCTCACTTTTCAAATGTCACACAGCCAAACCCCACTGGTTCACATCACCCTTAGCTCACCTCCAGGACCCCCTCGGCATCTGAGGAGAGGCTGGCTTCATGTCTGGATACGACGACAGCAAGGCTGCTTAAGGCTAACAGTGCATTGCCTTTAACCACTGGGCTGTCCCTGTTTAAAACAAAATAAAACAAAAATTCCAAGAGATGAATTTGGGGCATTAACTAGAAGAAAAGAAGGAGCTATTATAGGGACGGCAGAAAGATCAAATAGCACTTCTACGCCTTCACTGCATCTCGTAGACACAACTCTGATGTTCTCTGACGCCAGTAGCTTCCTTTCTATCTTCTGACACTGGTGCTGATTTTTAACTCTGCTTATAGATGGAAGGTCAGTCTACTTTTTTGTAACTTAAAAATCCAAGCTCATCATAACTAAGTTCTTCCTAAAATGTTTATTTCATCATTTGACATTATATTTCCTTAGCTATCTTCTTTGGGCCAATATAAATGTATTGACTTATTCTGGAAACACGACCAAGGACAGTTAGGGGAGTAGGTCCAACTGGATGGAACTGGCCTCTGCCTTCCTGGGAGCACTGGTGTGTGGAACCGGCTTCCAGCGAGCCACTCAGACAGCACACTCTCCTAGCAGCCTGACGACTGGCAGCTCTCCTCGCTCATTATTAGCCTCCCCCATCTCTTACCACGTCAAAGCCAGCAACCTTAAAGTCAGTTTGTAATGTAATTTTGAGACCCTAGATAAGACATTAAAAAAAAAGACCTGTTTTTAGGCTAAATGGCGAGTTTTCCTTTCCATCATCCAAATGGTAGTTTTCTAATGTTATTAGCAAAATCTTAAATTTGACTTCTGAGTTTAGTATCAAGAAATAGCCCTTTTAACATACTCACCACTTGAAAATACACATGTAGTGTTATTCCACAATTCCAAAATTGTACACTATGAGATGTTCCTGGCTTGCCAACTCTGTCCAAACAGAACTTGGGCAGCGGAGCACACATACTGTCAGATAGTTCAGTTCTCAGTTAGCCCTAGGATGGACTGTGGGTTCCCATAAACACCAAGAATGTTTCCTTAAACCTAGACCTGATACCTAAACTTGAATAAAGAACTGTTCCCTATTTATCCCAGTGCTGGAATAGAAAAGATATGTAGGATAAAGAAGACAGAGTCATGACTGAATGTGAGTTAGTGAGTATTAAAAAACTAGTATGCACATGTGTCCTTGCATTTTTTGCTTCTGTTCGGCAGGAATCGGACTCAGGATATGCCATGATCAAATCTGTGCGTCTATCTATTCATCCACTCCCTCCTTCCTTCTCTCTCTTCCACATGGGGCTGGTTAGGCTCAGTGAAGACTCACTCTGCACACTTGGTCATTTTGTTCACCAATTTCTTCCTTATTTCAACCCTCTATGAGACCTGCCTTAAGTTGATGAGACAACATTTATATTGGGGGATTGTGTGAGGGAGAAAATAAGGAAGACTTGGGATCCAAGCAGGTGGCTTCACTGAGGTTTTGCTTGAGTTCTGCAGTTGGGATTATTGGGGATGCATAGAGCTAACAATAGCATAAGAAGTGAGGCAAGATCTGGGCACTCCTAGGTAGCCTAGCCATAAAAACATTTAACAAAACCAAAATTAAATCTTTTATTTCTCTGATCTCTTCCCTTTAGCTGAGAATGTCCTGAAGCCTGTCTTGCTACAAAATGGTCATAAATTCCTAAATTTAGAAAAAAATAGTTTTAAATTCTCCGTTATCTGCAGAATTCCCAAAACGTAGATGGTCACTGGAAATTGGTATCACATCTTTTAAAACAAGGATAGTAAACAAGATAAAATAAAAAGTACCTTTTTAACTCTGAAATTCTGAAAGAGAATTTAGCCTTTGTTTTAAAACAGTGCTCTAAATAATTTTATTTCAAAAGTTTTATTGGTCTTGACATTCCAGAGCATGTATTGTTTCTTGTAAAATGGAGGAAGATGTATTTTAAACTACTGCTAATTAGGACTTTGATTACAGATTAAATGAGAATTTGGACATTAATCTTTGAATAGAAAAAAATTAGTCCGCAGCCCTGCTCAGTGTCTCACGAAGGTGCCGTGACTAGCTCTTCATCATCTATGTACTCCCTGCACGCCTAGCCCAGTGACTTATGGAGAGAAGACACTCAGCACATATTTAGTGAAATAAAGTCAAGGAGGAGCTGGCCAGGTGAAAATCTACAACTGGTTCAGCAAAAACTCATCAACTTATTGATGAAATAACTATCCCCTACAGTCAAGCAGGAGTCACTAATTTGCATAATGACATGTCAGCATCAGTACAATATTTATCTAGGCAACACCACTGACATTTTAATTAAATTGTCCTCTGAAACAAACTGATGCCATTAACCTAATTAAAAAGCGCATAAAAGGATGAGCTATGATGATGCTTTCTCAGGGACAAAGTATTATGTTACATATTAGTAAAGTGACCCAATCCCTTGGGGATTTTTATTTTCAGGTTCAAATCTATCTAATAACAGTGAAAATAAACTTACATCAATCATCAGGTTTTATCTGTGTTCTGATTCTCCCTTAGCCCTATCCCAGACACTTTAGAAACAAATGCTCTCAAGTGAGCAAATCAGTCTAATCCTGTTGGCTGATGTTTTACTTCCTGCATTTAACTTATAGCTCAGAACAAAATAAGTCCTAGGCTGGCCCAAAGCAGCCCACAGTAAGTCCTAGGCTGGACGGCCCCTGGTCCAAGGAACAGAAAGCTCAGCAGACAGGAGGTGGTGCTGGGGTCCTCACTTGGTTGGAGGAAGTCAGAGGGAAAAGTAAAGGGAGGGCGGCAGAGTGATTTTTCCCCTGCTCTGTCATTAGTCCTTTGGCCTCCAGACCTGAATTACCTCCTGCTCACTTGCTGTCATGCCCAGTACTGTCAGGATTGCTTTAATAAGATAAGGTCTATAAAATGCTTTGAAATTTTTGATGAAAAGGTAGTGCCACGAAAACATGAATTACTCTTACTCTGTACCACTGAGAATGGGAACATCTTAGGGATTAGCCATGAAACAATGCTTTGGAAGTCTGAAGATTAAAGTCTTGTTGAAATAAAATTTTCGAACAGAAAATATAAAAGCAACTGGAGAGGCATAATTATGTCTGTTTTAAAGGAAAGATGCTAGTTTTTTCAGTACTCAAGCTTTTTGCTGCAAATATCAGAGCACCATTTTAAACAGGTTATTAGTATATAAGTAGACTAATAAGACAGAGCAAACAATGAGAGGTAAGGTGGAAGGCAGCCCCCATCCCAGCACCTCCTCCTCCCTTCCAACATGCAGCTGAGCGCTCTCCCACCGCGGCTGTAATTCACCAAATCAGATAAGTAGAAACAGATGAGTCCCTATAGAAGCCTCTTGGTACTTTGATTTTCATTTTGTCAACAGATACATCCCGGTAGTGTCCAGGTGCCTCCCTCAGCACTGAGAGCTTGGGAGGATCACCACTTCTATTTGACTTCATTCAGGAGGCATGAGGCTGAGGAGTGATCCTATTAAGTGCCTCTTTAAGAAACTACTGGTAGAAAGCTAACTCCAAGGTAAATCATTTTTTTAAGGCAAAATCTACTTAGTTAGAGAGAGATAAACTAAACTGCAATGAAATATTTCCCGATAATGGAGTTTCAGGGCACATGAAATCTTTTAGGTCAGAGACATATCTGTATTGTTTGGTGAGTAAGAAGAAAGGATGTCAAAGGATGTCCAAGAATGTCGGCAGCTAAAGGTGAAGGTGGAAGGGAGGAGTGTATGTAGCTGGCTGTAACTTATTGCCCGAAACAATCAGTCAGCTTGTTAACAAGTGAAACTGATGAGATTGTCTAAGCACATTAATTAGAGTATAATTTTCTTAGCTGGCTTAAGATAAAAAGCCTCAAGATAGTAATACTCATTATTTTTTGTTAAAACAACCATAAAATATGACTGAAACTGCCTTTTTTACTGGATCTTCACATTCATTTCTAGCATTTAAAAATTTGATTTTTAGATACCCTGGACCCGATAACACAAAAGGAATAAAAGGAAGTACTACTCTGCTTTATTTGCTGACAGTTGAGATTTAATAATGTATTTATTAAAACACATTAGCAATTTCCTCTCACCCACCACCCCTCTCCCACATGAACTAAATGAGAATTTAAAAAAATCTAAGTCAGCACGGGGCACTTTGTTACCTGTATAACCTCAGGAGACTCTTGATGTAAAAGTATGTATTTGTACTGATTCTTTTGTATTTTCACAAAAAGACATTTAGTAAGAATTAACTTAATATGAGAAAGGATAACAACTGATTTTTTAAAAAAATAACTGAAAAGTCCTTCAAAATTATTAAAGTTATGAAATACCTAAAAGGGGAAATTGTATGTACATGGCATGGAAAAAAAGGTTTACAGAAAAATTTTAGCAAGAGAGTAAACAGATCTTACTTTGCAGCTGACTTGGTGATCTCATCAGTCAACATGTCTCGAACCCTGCAATTATGATGGAAAGAAAACAGGTATAAGCATTTATAAGCAAGAATCCAATCTTTTGGCTTATTCACCAATTAATAAGAATGTTTAGAAATTATTCCAGATCTAAATACCACATATGTAGAATTTTAGTGGAAGGTGACAGGACTGTAATAAGGGCTTTACTTCAAAGACTGCCATCTTCCTATTCCTTCGGTCACTTAGTGGAGGGAGAAGGAGGTGAACATAACTAAGGAGGGATGTGCAGGCAGTGTTGTGATGGGGTCACCTCATGAACGAATTGGAGAGTATGTGTGTCCTTTTTTAATACTTTGTCTACGGTGGTCTGAATGTTTGCATCCCTCCATGTTTACATGGTGAAATCTTAAATACCAATGTACGGTATTGGACATGGGACCCTTGGGAGGTCATGAGGGTGGAGTCCTTTAAAAAGAGACACCAGAGAACACTCTCTTTGTCCTCTCCCTTCCTTTCTCTCTTCTCCCTCCCTTCTCTCATTGCCACCTCCCCCACCTGAAGACACAGGGAGAAGGAAGCAATGATCTCCCAGCCTCCAGAACTGTGAGAAGTAAATATCTTGTTGTTTAAGCCAAATCTATGGTATTTTTGTTATAACAGCCTGAACTAAGACATTTACTGTTTTTTTTACACAAGAATGCACCAGAACAGCAATTTACTATTTCTGAATTGTAGATAATGGAGTAGTCACTATGTACATATATGAAAGAAAGCTCAAAACATTGGTTGTAAAATCACTCTGAAGCTAAAACAAAATAACTACACTTGTACATTTGAAGGAAGGTAATGCTCGATTCAAATATCCACAGGACACAAAATTCTTTCAGTAGATAAGCCTGGAGACAAGGTGAAAAACAACCACTGACTGCCACCTTTATATTTGGAAGAGGATACAGACATTTTCACTACCTACTTTGAGTTTTAGATGCAAAGTTTTTATAAATATTATGACATTTTGCAAATATAAGTTATATTTGCATTCATAAATATTTTCATTCAAAATCTAACAAAATCTCAGCCATTCCCCACTCTCTGAGAAATGTCATTCCTAAGGGCCATTTCTTAAGTTTTTCAGTCGCAAACTGTTCCTATAGACTTTTAACTTGTATTTTATAAAACCGTTGGACAATAAATTCTCTAAACTGTACAATCTCAGTCTTCCTAAATGGAAAGTAGTACAGTTAATGTACTCTTTTGTTGGTCAACATGGAATATCTACAAATATTCCATGATGACAGGCCTGTACTGACTTCCACGCAGGGCCAAACCACTCATAAACTAGTTCTCTCCTTTTACCCATCTCTTCCCGCTGCCACATCATCAATATTTCCTTTTCTACTTGTACTACTCCCCTTATCATGTGAACATACTGAAATAACTACCATTTTTAAATAAGAAAGAGTCCTCCAACTATGGTCCCATTTCCCTGCTTCTCATACCTCAGAACTCATTTGAAACACTCTATACTTGACTCCAGTTCATCTCCTTCCACTCTCTAGAGCCCCCCGTAACCTGCCTTTTGTTCCCTGAACTCTGCCAGAGGAGCTGCTATCCTGGCCATCACGACTTTCAAGAGGCCAAATAGAATTCCCAACTCTCAGTCCGCATCTTTTGCTACTTCACAGTAGCATCTGACACAATTGGTTGCTTCTTCCTTGAAACACTTTCTTCCCTTGGCTTTTAAGAGTCCAAGCTCTCTTGGTTTTCTTCCTATATCACCTATTACTCATTTTCTGTGTGCTTTATTGGTTCCTTCTTCATCTTCTCCGTTTCTTTTTTAAAAAGGATTTTATTTATTTTTAGAGAAAGGGGAGGCAGGAAGAGAGGGAAAGAGACATTGATATATGAAAGAAACACCGACTAGTTCCTTCTTGTACGCCCCCACTTGAGGACCTGACTCACAGCCCAGGCAACTGCCCTGACCAGGAAGTGAACCAGCAACTTTCTGGTTTGTAGGCTAGCTTTCTACCAGTAGTTTCTTAAAGAGGCACTTAATATGATCACCCCTCAGCCTCATGCCTCCTGAATGAAGTCAAATAGAAGTGGTGATCCTCCCATGCTCAGTGCTGAGGGAGGCACCGGGACACTACCGGGACGTATCTGTTGACAACTGATATCACCGACTGGAGGTCCAATTCGGTATCTCTGGCCTAGCAAGTCACAAATCTGATTCCTTCCATACATAGGCCCGCTTTTCCACTGTCTTCCCCATCTTAGTACATGGGATCTCCATACTTTCAGTTATTCAGAGTTAAAATATTGCAGTTATCCTTGACATCCATCTGTTTCTCACATTCTTCATTTAACGTATCTCTACATATTTTGAAAAGTACAGCCAACACACCACCTCCACCGAATGATCATTTTCAGAAGATGAAATTAAAACTACACGTACAAGATAATAGCAAATAGGAAGCAAAATCCAAATTCCTAATCTCTAATCATAAATCCAATGTCATGTTTTCAACTGCCGTGTTATTTTAAAAACTAAATCTAGAAAATGAAAGTTAGAATTAGTCACAGACATACACACATGTGTACACACACTTGCGCGCACACACACAGCTTCTGCTTTTCTACATATGTCAACTGTCAGTAATAAAAAATCTAAAACCAAGTAGCCTTTGAACAGGTTTTTAGATTAAAGAAACCTGACACTGTAGGCAAAACAATTTAGATTCCGGGAACTTCTCTTAGATTTAGGCTGCTGCAACATTACTCTGACAAGGTATTAATCCCAACCTATGTAACAATTTAAATTGCCTTTAATGTGCCAGCACTTAAACATTTCTTGAAAACATAGTGGGAATTCACAAGGAGATGTCTGCCAAAGAAATTAAAACCCTGATGTGGTAATAAAGTTGCTCCTAATCATGAAGCCATCTTGGGAAGAGAGGGGCAGGGGGAGTGGAAGGTATTCTTGACTATTATGAGCTAGGAAGGCAATGAATTAAGTGGGGAAAAGCAAAAAAAAAAAAATCCATTCAAAAGCATATAAAATGATCAGCTATAAGGGAAAAAAGGGACAAGCAAACCATTTCCACAGTGCTTTAAAAAAAATAAAATTTATGAATAAAGCCCTCCTTCTTATTTCTAAGGAGATGAAAACCACAGCTATCAGATCTTCAGTTCCCTGCCCGCCCCTCCAGACTCTCACAGAAGTTAAAAGCCCCAACATTAAAGCCTTTGAAGTAGCCACCTTCTCACAGTCCATTTCCCACGACACCTCGGCACCGCCCTTTTCCTTGCCCCCTTACCAGAGCCAGGCTGTGCTTTTTTTGTGTTGCACCTCCTCAGCCCCTTCTTTTCCGTGTTTTAACTGCAACTCCAGCTCTGCTATTCTGCCCTGTAACAAACACAGCATAAATCAGCATGCAAACTCTATGGCCAAAATTCTCTTAAAATTTCTGTGGAAAACACAAAGATAACAGATCTAACATTTCCCAATTCACCCTAAGTGTTCATGGTAGGTTACTGAATTATAAATGAGGATGTGTAAGTGAGATAATTACATTCCTGCTTAGATATTTCCACGTTCACCAAATAAGCATATCCCAGAGAAGTTATGTTTCAGAAAAATTTAGCGCAGAGTGCTACATTTTGGGATGCCTATTAAAAGCAGAATTTCATAGGTCCCATTCCAAAAAGTCTGCTGCACAGCAATGCTCAGCCTGTGTCAACAGCTAATAACTTCAACTGCCACTATCCCAAAATTGGGGTCTGGGTACCAGTATCATAACAGAATAGTAAGGATGGTATATAACATCTAAGATTCAGGTAATCTATAACAAAAGTTATTCTCAAACAGCTACACATTATATTTCTATTTCTTGAGTGAACATATAAAAATAGATATTATAATGCTCAATCTCTACTATGTAATAAAAATATAGTTAATGTCATCCCTTTAAAAGCAAAGACCTTCAAACATTTATTATCCTTTTTTTACACTCAGTTATTTTGATCAGATGCTTTCCCTTCCTCTCAATAAGCAGTTACATTATTTAAATGTAATTAAAATGCTGGTTTATTGGTGAACCCTGAACTGAATAAGAACTTAGACTGCATATTATATTACTGAGTAATATCAAACCATTTTCAGAAGTGGTGGCGCAGGTTACGTTCTCAGTAGCAGTAAGGGTGTTCTAGTTACTGTCCATCCTCACCAACACTTAGAATTGTCAGGCTTTTTATTTTTATTTCTAATTTATTTTTTAAAGATTTTATTTATTTTATTTTTAGAGAGAGAAGAAGAGAAGGAGAAAGAGAGGGAGAGAAACATCAATGTGTGGTTGCCTCTCACACGCCCTCTACTGGGGACTTGGCCGGCAACCCAGGCATGTGCCCTGACTGGGAATCAAACCTGCAACCCTTTGCTTTAGCAGGCCCACACTCAATCCACTGAGCTATACCAGCCAGGGGGCTTTTCAATTTTTACTATTCTTGTGGGTGTGAAACGGTTTTTGTTACGGTTTTCATTTTCAGTTTATTGTTTACTAAGGAGATTGTGCATCTTTTCAAGTTTTTATTGACTATTTGGGTTCCTTATTCAGTCCATTTTTTATAGGTTGCCTTTTCTTATTGATTATAGTGTTCTAACATATGTTCTACAAGAGCAAAGTGTATGTCTCTATATATACTCAAGAGCGGGAAGCAATACAGCTTGGTGAGTTAAGAATGTGACTCTGGAATCAGAATCTAATGCCATTTCCACTTAGTTGAAGTATCTATTTCAACAAGTTACTTCACTTCTCTAAGCTTCATTTCCTTATTTATAAAATGTAGCTAACAATGATCTCACAGTATTATAGCATCATATTAAATAACGTGGAAAACGGTCTATTTAATACAGTGCCTGATACAAACAATACCTACTATTACCAGGTTCATTGTTAATAACAACGAAAAATCCCACTTCCCCTATAATCTTCTTACAAAGCATTCTTTCATGAATATATTGAAATCCTTCATAAAATAATTCTTATTTTCATCTGTATACTCTTATTGAGCAAAAGGTTCCCCAAAATGTAATATCCAGCCTAGGCAGTTGCATAGCCTTTTATTTCTCACCAACACTCTCAGTTAGTAGCCGGTGAGCTCACTGAAAGCAAGGCTGCTCCATCAGTCTAAGGAGCCCTTGTGCACAGCACCACTTCCAGCACACACGTCCTGAGGCTCACCAGTCCAGATGCTCGGAGGTTTCACCAGCGTTCTAGTCACATTCTTCATAGCTTCCATTTACTTCACTCATACCCATGCCCATCTCCCCATGCTCCAAGATACAATCCTGGTCCTTTCTTGTTTTTTTTTAAATTATTATTTTTATTGTTTTTTCCCCTTACCTCTTAGGGCAAGGTATTAAAGGTGACTAAACTGTCAAGATATTGATATTAATATTTAATGTTGATACTGACCCCCTACGAGGGTAGGCAAAAGAGAAAATAATTTTTATTGCCTATTTGTAATGCTTTGTAAATGATGCCTCTTTCTTCCTAAAACACTTACTTTTCATAATGCTGTACCAAAAAAGGCATAAGAAATTAAAATGTTAAAATCTGTTTAGAAACAAAACACAAAAAAACTAGTACACATGCAGCCTTTTGAGAAGGCCTATTTTTCTCATCTCTCTTGTAACTAGTTCAATGATTCTGTTGTGACCAAATAGACATTTTTTCTTTCTCAGAGTCTCTGTTCCTCTCAATTCCCCCTTGAAAATCTCTAACCCCTCCCACAAGTCTATGTCAGGCTATTTGTCCAGACGTACTTTGCCTTCCAATTCTCAGCCTACTGGTAACGGAGACCCAGTGGCATTCCGCTCTGTCACCTCTGCCTGCCTCTGGCGAACAGCTGTGGGTATGACTGGAAAGCACTCAGGGGGACAGGAAAGGCTGAAATGGTCACCTGAATTGAGTTCTGGATTGCCTGGAGTTTCCAATTCTTAATCTATCAATCCCTCTTACTTAAAAAAAAAAATTCCAGGCTACGTAACCAAGAGCTTACTGATTAGAGTGAGCAAGTTTATCCTGCTCCAAACCTATACATTAGAAACAAACAACCCTTCAAACAGCAAGAGAGTAATTTACCAGGGGTCACAGTTTTGTCCCTGGTTTTGATTTCAGATTATTTTGCAGCTAGCTGACTGATTCAGGAAACAAGTGTTTGAAGTCAACCTGTTTTAACTCCTCTCTCCTGTTTGAGGTCATATTCAAAATCCCCACGAGCCCTTTACACAGAAGCTGGAGACCTTAACCTTCTCTGCATCCCACAAGGGCAGCAAGGTAAAGGTGGCTGTAAAGGGCTCTTTATCAAAATGGACTCTGAATTGTCGATCAATGTATCTGCATTTTTTCATCTTAATGAGAAGAAATCCAAATTCTTCCCCATGTCAACCACCTGGATATGTTTATAAGTCCAAATCCCACATTTTTTTGGAAAAACTATGGAAAGATATCGGCTGAAGCAGACATCTAAGCAAAAGCTGCCTGTAGTATTCAGAACTCAAACTTATTCACATCAAAATCAACCTGCAGGAAACAATGTAGAATGTACCCTTTAATGTGTCTCCTAGACATGATTAATGTGGCTCCTAAGAATGATCCTTCAGTTTAGTGCTACAAAATATATCTAGCACCAGATGGGAAGTAACTGTAACTCCTGTGCAGAAGAAGTATCCTCTAGGACAGAAATTCTTGACATGGACAAGGAGTCTAGCAGTTGCTCTCATTCTTCTAAGATCCCACCACCCTATTTAAGTGTGTGGAGTCATTTACAAAAACTTGTCAAACAGTAAAATGCATCAGTGTACCTTCAAGTCACAGTGACAGCCTAGAAAGCAATGCTGTATTTTCAAATAACACTCAAAATCTTATTATAGTTGACGTTTTTTCACTTTTATCACCATTTCTCAATGGAACTAGATTAAAAATTCAAAGTAAAGACATTTTAAATGATAAATAAAAAACGATGTACACTAACTATCACAACAGAAGAAAAGCAGAACAATTGACCTGCATACTAAAAATACTTGGCTGGCTTTTACAAAATAGATCTGTCCTTTAAAATATTAAAGCAATTTGCATTATTGTTACTATTAATGTGTGGCATTATGTGTTAGGGAAAATGCATACTACAGTGGGAAGGACTGAATTTCTGGAGTCCAAAAGATTCTAGTTAATTTCCAGTTCTTTCACTTACTGACTGTTGGGTTTTGTACCATTTGCTTTGTTTTCCTAGCTAACCCTCTTTCCCCATTTCTAATCCCATTATATGGGGGTTTACAACAGCCGCTTCAAAGGGTTTCTGTAAAGATTTATTGAAATTATATATGGTAGTATTGGACACACACTAGTTATTCAAAAAATGGTAGCTCTAACTATAAAGACAACTATGCAAGTTTTTTTAATCAATTGCAAGCCATCTGCATGAGTTATACCATCATCCTGTTCAATTTAGCCTTCCTTATGCTGACAGCTAAATACAATTCTCAGGGGTTGTGCTGGAATTGCTACTGGACATGCTGGTCTCCTGCATGGGACTGGCAGCTCACCGAGAAGGAGTGCTTTACTCCCCTTTGTGTCCCATGAACCCGGCATACAGGGCCTGGCCAGTAAAAAACACTCCATAAATGTCTGGTGAAGAAATAAATGTGAGGAAAAGTGCAGAGTCCAACTTATAATTTCACTCACCTTGAATAAAAACTGTAATTGGTCAGGGGTGTATATGAGTAACACACTCTTTCACTCATGCATCTACTCAAAACTGAGTGCCAAGATGCAGCTGAGGATAAAAAAGTGGGTAAGCTGAGAAAAAGGAAACCATTGTTCCAAGGAAACATCTTTAAGACGCGGACTCCCAGCGTGGTTTGGGGAACCATCTAAAACACCGGTGTTCTGAGCTTGGCTGACAAACTGAGTTAAAATTAACAGGCAGCTTGGTAAACACAGAGATTCCTGGTCCCCCTAAGCAGTTCTAATGATAGGAATCTCTGGACATACCTCAGTACTTCATAAAATCTAGACTCAATAAAATATGTTGCAATAAGGTTTTAATATAAGATGAGAACACTGGAGCTCAGATGCTTAGTCATTTCTTTCATCCCTCAACCCCAACCATCTTTTGGTACAGCTGTTACCTTTGACCATAACGCCTGAGACTCCATGAAAATCTGATACTGGGCCAGAAATTACTCAATACCATCAGAGTTTGTTCTATCATCTTTAAAAAGAAATTTTAACCTAGGAAAAATAGTTGTTGTTTTCTTATATTGTTAACTGTTCATATATTCTCAAACCGATTAAGAATTATTTCTAATTAAAAAAATCCACAAACTAACTTATGATACTGGCTTAAATGAAGTCGAATTGAGTGGAATTCATTTATTTAGTGAGCACCTATTGTGTTTCAGACACCATGTCAAGTGCTCAAGATGGCAAAGCTCGAGTTCTAAGGAGCAGAGACAACAGGATGGAGGTTCCAGACAAATAACTATGTTGATAAACCTTCTAAGAGAGAAGCCTGTGTACTAAGGAAGCACACATGGGCAGGAGACAATCCAGTGGGGCGGGGGGCGGGGCACACACTGGTGCCTTCCCAGATAAAATGATCTAAATAAAGACCACATGGAAATTAGGTGAGCAAAGAGGGAATGGAAGTACCTGTACCAGAAAAAACCATGTGTCAATGTCAGGAGATTAAGAGAGACTTGCTCAGTTTGGAAAACAAAGAAATTTAGCAAGGCTGAGATACAACATCTAGAGGAAAGAAAATAAGATAAGGCTGGAGCAGTAAGCAAGGCCAGCTTGAGGAGGTTAGCACAGACAATGAGCTCAGTCTGGGAAGCACTCAAGGTGAGGTGCTATGGGACAGCCAAGGGGGACATTTGGGACATCGGGGAGATGTTCAAAGAGCAGCATCAAGTAAAACCAGTAGCACTCATGAGGGAGTTCTAGACAGGACACGTGTTGGGAAGAAATCAGCACTTAAAATTTAAATTAAAAACAATAAAGTCATTATTGATAGGTAAAAAAAAGTTAAGTGCATTATATACATTTATGACTTACATTCTTTAGCAGCAATTATAACCACTGCATTTTCAACAGTGTTATTTTCCTAAGTGATTTTTTATTAAATACATATTTGGAGTAAAATTTGAGGGAAGAAGGAGACACTCCTCTGAAACACACCATCCAATGGTTTCATTACCTGTAAAATGGCATGATAAGCTCGAGTCATATATGCCAGCCACGCTTGCGGGAGAAAAATGGCCCGGTGCCACTCAGAAAGCTGGATGTGTACCTGCAGGAAAGATGCACCGCACCGTGAGTCAGACTACACAGCATTAAATTGTAAAATTAAACCGTATCATCAATTCTTTCCTTCCCCTTATTTAAATGGTTTATATGTTCTAAAACAAACCAAATCAGTCTGGGATCAGAACCACAAATAAGGTCTTGGAATATTTTCAAAGGAGAGGAACTTAGAGTCCTGTAAAGACAAAATAAAATAAGCCTGAAATTTTCTAAATTAAAGCAAATAGAGTCTTACAATAATAACAAGTTAAAATGTATATATAATACAAATGTGTCCCTGAGAATTAGGGAGAAACTCTGTAAAACCTCTTGCCAATGTCAGGAAACGAGGTATTGTCTAACAAATCTCCCTAGTAATTTAAAATAAAAATAAATATTGCTCACATCCTGGATTTTCATTCTGACAGTTTCTGAAGTAATAAACCTAAATTGCAGAAAGAAATATCATGTTGTGTAGAAACCATGATGGCAAGAGCATGCAAATGAGCGCCGCAGTCAGCAATTGCGCACACCCCCACGTAAATGCCCTTTAATCAGTGTGGGTAAACAAGCGAAAAATGAAGCAGGCCAGCACGGAAACCCTGTTTCTGAAGCGAGGCCCAGATACAACATCTGGTTTTCATAGTCATTTCTGTTTCTACCTATTAGTATACGGCTATCTTGAAACAAATCTTCCCAAGGTCTGCTTCTGCTAAAGAAAGATCACTCCAGACAGACAGCCACAGTACAGCACATTTTGTGTTTCCTGTAACTCATCTCCTCCGACTCAAACAACAAAAACTTCAGTCTGTGTCCTACAGACAAAAAACAAGAAACAAAAATCCCTCCAGATTTCTACATAATTAGCCCAGAATCAAGAAATCCTGAGTGCTTAAGAGATTTTATTGTATTATAAGATTCGATTGCTTTGTGACAGGGAAGAGAACAGCCTCTCTGAATAGAGTTGGGTCTCCTGGCCTCTGGTGTTTAACTCTAGTCTTAATTCACTATCCACAAGGTTTTATGAGAAAATATAAAGAACATCAGCTAATCCGTGTCCTCCCAGAGCTTTCCAGTGTGAGGATCAGAAACAGGCACAAACAGGTCACAAGGCAACATTATGAAGACTCGATGGAGAACGAAGGGATTAATTCTGCCTGCCACCTATCACCTCTCAATCCGCTGCTTTGTTTTAAAGAGTTAGATACTCATACAGCATGAAAAAGGTATTGAAACCATGAAATGAACTTTGAAAATGATAAAGGCAAGTTTTTTCCTTTTCTGATGAAGTGTTCTCTCTGCAGAGGAAAGCAGGGGAAGGCCTGTCCACACGGCACTAAACATCCTTGAAGGGAGGGGCCAGCCGAGGCCACGTTTCAAGCTGGGAGGCGTTAATCAGACTTCAGTTCTTGCCCTTTGATTCCAAAATGAGAGGAATTTTCTTAACTTTTTCCTATCAATTCTGTTCACTTTTCATAAACTATATTAACTATCTCTAAATTGTATTTTGAGATCTGGGTTTACCAGAAAGAACACTCAAACACCACAACGAACACTTTTATCTCTCATTTCAGAACCTCCAAATATTAATTTGCCTGCCAAATATAATTATTCATGGACATCATTACCACTGCACGACTGAGGCGATCTAGAGCCTCAGCACACTGGCGATAGGAGCACTGAATGTTTTTGGAAAGACGATGGTCTCAAATGGTTTAAACAAAAAGAGGGTATTATGGAAAATGTAAAGGCAAACGAGCACATCAAATGTTGAGCTTCTAAGAACAAAGACATGCATGCCAGGAAACCTATTTAAAAGGAAGTTATAAACTGAAAGTTAAAGCTAATCCTCCTGCTGCTGCTCCAACCACATCTGAAGGTGGTGCAGGGACCCAGTGGAACCTTGGGCCTAGACGTCAGCCTGTGCTCCTTAGGTTTTATGAGATTATATGTAGGTTTAGCGTTCTACGGAGTTAGCTGTGAACAAATCTCCTTAAAGATGCATTCATTCTCTTGCTCTTTCTCTTACTAAAGAGAGACGTGGGGAAACAGCTTAAAGACAGTCAACACCCACATTCCAGTTGTGTTATAGGCAAAAGAGGAAGCTATTCCAATTCTACCTACAGCTACCCATAAAGGTTAATGTTGCTAGGCTGGAAAATACAATTCACGTCTTTAAAGTATGAAAGTTATGTATTATTTGCATTACTTGTTAGAAGCCCTTGAAGTCAACCTAATCAACAAAATAATTTCTGCCGTGATTGGTGTGGTTCAGTGGGTTGGATGGCATCCTGCAACTGAAAGGTCACTGGTTCCATTTGCAGTCAGGGCACATACTTCAGTTGCGACCCAGGTCTGTGGCTGTGGGTATGTGCGAGGCAACCGATTGATGTTTCTCTCTCACATCAATGTTTCCCACCCTCTCTTTCTCTCTGCCTTCTCCCCTAAAAATAAACAAAATCTTTAAAAAATTCATTTTCATGAGACCACCATTTGTTTATTCCTTCCTTTATGTCCCTTGTTCTAGGGGACATCTCGGTGAAAATATTGCTGGACTATCTGAGATTTCCCTGCCTACGTTTTCCTCTAGGACTTTTATGGTGTCATGACTTATATGAGGGCCCAGAGACATATGAAAAGAAACTCAGCATCACCAGCCATCAGAGAGATGCAAATTAAAATCACAATGAGATACCCTTTCATGCCACTGAGAATGGGCCATCAAAAACAAACCAACAAACAAAAGTGTTGCAGAAGATGTGAAGAAAAGAGATCCTAGTGCACAGGAGGAGGGAATGCAGGCTGAAGCAGCCACTGTGGAAAACAGTATGGAATTTCCTTAGAAAACTAAAAAATGGAACTGACTTTTGACCCAGCTGGGATTATATTCTAAGAACCCCGAAACACCAATCCATAAGAACCTATGTACCCCAATGTTGACAGCAGCGCAATTTGTAATAGCCAAGTTCAGGAAGCAATCTAAGTGCCTATCAGTAAATGAGTGGATCAGAAAATGATGGTACCTTTACACAATGGAATTCTATGCAGCAGAAAGAAAGAAGGAGCTCCCACCCTTTGCAACAGTATGGATGGAACTGGAGAGCATTATGCTAAGCCAGGCGGTGAAAGACAAATACCATATGATCTCACCTTTAAGTGGAACCTAATCGACAAAACAAACGAGCAAGCAAAATATAACCAAAGACATTGAAATTAAGAACAATTTCATAGCAGCATTTTAAAAATAGCCAAAACATGAAAATAACCTAAAGGGTCCAGCCAAGATGGAGGCATAGACACACTGTGACTCCTCACATAACCAAAATAAGGACAACAACAATTTAGAAACAAAGTAACAACCAGAAGTGACAGAAAATTGAACTGTATGGAAGTCCAACAACCAAGGAGTTAAAATAAACACATTCATCCAGACCAGTAGGAGGGGCAGAGTCAGGCAGCTGAGCCGAGAGGGGTCACGGCAAAAAAAGCGGCGGCACTGGGCATGCAAGTTGGCAGCAGGCAGACCCCAGGTGTGGGGTAGCAACAACAGAACCAGCAAGGTGGTGACTGTGAAGCTGGGCACAACATGCAAGGTGGCTGGCTGACCAGGCAGCCCCACATTCACAGACAGATAAACCAGGTGAAACTGGAGAGCGAGACAGACCTCAAAACCCAGGGCTCTAGCAGGAGGAAATAAAGCCTCAAAACACCAATTGAAAACCCCTGTGGGGGTGGATGTGGCAGGAGAAATTCCTAGACTCACAGGAGAATTTGTTGGAGAGACCCACAGGGTCCTGGAATGTACACAAGCCCACCCACAAGGGAATCAGCAACAGAAAGGCCCAGTTTGCTTGGGGGAAGTGCAGAAGAGACTGAAATCTGACAGAAAGCGAAGCAAGTGCCATTGTTCCCTCTTGGACCCCTCCCCGACATAAAGTGTCACAACCCAGATACTGGGTTGTGCCACCCTGGTGAACACCCAAGGCCCTGTCCCCACTATGTAACAGGCTCATCAAGACAAAAAAAAAATGGCCCAAATGGAGAACACATCAAAGCTCCGGGCAAATACGACTGAGCAATGAAGAGATGGCCAACCTATCAAATACACACTTCAAAGCATTGGTGATCAGGATGCTCACAGAATCGGTTGAATTTGCTTGCAAATTATATGAAAAAATGAAGGCTACCCTAAGTGAAATGAAGGAAAATATACAGGGAACCAATAGTGATGGGAAGAAAACTGGGATTCAAACCAACAGTGTGGACCAGAAGGAAGAAAGACACATCCAACCAGAAAAGAAAGAAGAAACCATTCAAAAAAATGAGAAGAGGCTTAGGAACCTCCAGGACATCCTCAAATGTTCCAACATTCGAATTATAGGGGTACCAGAAGGAGAAGAGGAATAGCCACGAGTGGAAAACTTATTTGAACAAATAATAAGGGAGAACTTCCCCAATCTGGCAAAGGAAATAGACTTCCAGGAAGTCCAGGAAGCTCAGAGAATCCCAAAGAAGGTGGACCCAAGGAGGAACACACCAAGGCACATCATCATTACATTAGCCAAGATTAAAATGAAGGAGAGAATCCTAGAATCGGCAAGAGATAAGGAGACAGTAACCTACAAAGGAGTTCCCATCAGACTATCAGCCAATTTCTTAAAAGAAATCTTGCGGGCAAGAAGGGGCTGGAAAGAAGCATTCCAAGTCATGAAAGGCAAGGACCTACATCCAAGATTGCTCTATCCAGCAAAGCTTTCATTTAAAATGGAAGGACAGATAAAGTGCTTCTCAGAAAAGGTCAAGTTAAAGGAGTTCATCATCACCAAGCCTGTATTATATGAAATGTTAAAGGGACTTATTTAAGAAAAAGAAGATAAAAAACATGTATAGTAAAATGACAGCAAACTCACAATTATTAACAACCACACCTAAAACAAGAACAAACTTAGCAAACAACTAGAACAGGAACAGAACCACAAAAATGGTGACCACATGGAGGGTTAGCAA